CCATAAACTCGAGAGCTTCCATGGCCTTTGATTTCCAAGTAGAAAAGTTTTGTTTATCAAATGGAGGAATCTTGTTGCAGACAGTTGATTTTGGAGTGAAGAAGATCGGCATCATTACTTGAGTGTATCACAAACCTGCTCTGATACCAATTGAAGATTTGTATTAATCGGATACACTTCAAGTATAACGACGAAAGAGAAACTTAACCAACAAAAATAAAGAACAAAAATTAAAAGACACAAAGAGTTCTCCAAATTGTTCTTTCACCAAGAAAGAGTTTTTTCTTCACCAAAAAGATGGTTTGTCACAAAGACGATTACGACACCAAGCCGTATTATACAACATTAGGGTTTTCCCTAATGTTGTATATATACTAATCTATACATATCAATCCCATGATTAAAGGGATTGTATCTAATCTATACTAAGAACCGATTTTATCACAAAGATATTGGATCTGTGATCTATTCTATGCTTATCTATATCATTACCTAATATACACAAGATTACATAGAATAACTACGCTATACACTGACGGTGATAAGCTTGGTACGTTGACGTTGTCGATGTAGTTGATGCTGACGCTGACAGATAGTGTAAAGTGTTTGACTTATCATATCATAAGGTGTGTCCTTACAATATATATATATATATATATATATATATATATATATATATATATATATATATATATAAAGCATATCAGTCATATCTTGAATTTTAAGAGGTATAAGTTACAAAGTTTTTTGTACAAATCAATTATACATAAATAAATCATTAATACTTGCCAAAGGTTTGAAGACTTGAATTAATGAAGGTTATTAAGAAATTAATTTGGAGCAAAATTACATTTTTAAAATATTAAATTTATGTAAATAAATTTATTTACATTTCTTAAATTAGACACGGCTGTTAATTAATTTACATCAAATGTATAAACAGACAACATAAATATAAGGTCTAAAAATAAATATTTTATTGAAAAGTGGTCATTGTTTAATACATAATAATTAATAAAAAATCTAATAATTATTTCCCCGTAAAAAATTATTTGTCAAAATAATTGTTTATCGCCGCCGCTTTGCGCGAGCACACATCTAGTATATATATATATATATATATATATATAGATATATATATATATATATATATATATATATATATATATATATATATATATGTTCAAGTATTCTAACTAATTATTGTGCGGATGTGTCAACAATGTTATTCTACGAGAATTACTAAGAGAATAAGTTGTTTAGCAATGCGAATACGTTCAACCTTACAAAAATATCGTCATTTTCATGCATTCTCGCTAATTATTATTTATTTTTGTTCTCATACATCGTTTTTCACTCATGTTCATTATGACAGAATACGATTTAATAAACATTCTGACAGAAATGAGAATAATAATAAGTGTATAATAACCTTATAGACTATTTAATTAGTGAGAATGTGTCTTAATGACAATAGTTATGTAAGATTGAATGTATTTATATTATCAAACAACTTATTTTCTTTATCATTCTCAAAAAATAGCATTGTCCATACGTTCGCACAATAATTAGTTAGAATAGAATAACCTAAACATATATATATATATATAATATATATATATATATATATATATATATAGGGTTAAGTTCAAATGAGAACACTATTTAATGTGAGAACGTGAGAACACTACTTTATGTTACTATTCTACTATGAATTTAATATATATAGTATTGTAGTAATTATAATATGAATATATTCAATTTTATATTGCTATTATACTATATATATATATATATATATATATATATATATATATATATATATGTAGTAATTTAGTAAATTCTAATGTGAATGTTAAATATGTGATTGTTCATATATTCGGTGATGAATAATGTCATAAAGTTGTACATACAAAATTTTAAAGTGAATATTAATGTGTGATTGTTCGTATATTTGTTGATGAATAATGCCATATCGTTATACATACAAAATTCATAGAATAGTAACATAAAGTAGTGTTCTCACGTTCTCACATTAAATAGTGTTCTCATTTGAACTTAACCATATATATATATATATATATATATATATATATATATATATATATATATATATATATATATATATATATAACCATTCTTGTTAAGATATCAATCTTATTTATAATCTTAATATTCTATAAGGAAAAAACGATCTTGATCACGATACGAATGGTTCTAAAACAATATATACTGTTAGGGAGGAGGGAGTCGTTCCCTCTTAGCCCACCGAACCCACTGCAACATCAATTTTTGTCTCTTTTTTTTTTCTTCATCTTTCCCAACCCACAACACACGGAAATCCTATCTTTTTGAACTCACTCAATTAAAAAAAATACAAAACAACTAAGGTACAAGTTTTAAAACACATGGTAAAAGAGAAAATAAGAAAGAGAAAGTAGAGAGATGATGAAGTGGGTTAGTGAAACCAATCAACCCACTCGTTGAAGCGGGAGTGGTACCGCCGACAACTCTATTGCTAATTAATATTTTACATTTAATTGTTTTGTATTTTTTTTTTAATTGAGTGGGTTGAGTGGGTTCAAAAAGATAAGGTTTACGTGTGTTGTGGTTCGGAAAAATGAAGAAAAATAAAAGAGAAAAAATGATGTGACGGTGGGTTCAGTGGGTTGGGAGGGAATGACTCCCTCCTCCCTTAGAATGTTAAAATCTTAGGATCCCACCTAATATTTTACGATTTTACCCGATCATATCATGCATCTCGAGTCTTTATTGTTATCATATCTTTACTTTTTTTTTTAAACCTTAGACATTTCGTTATTAATCCTATAAAACCCATGTAGCACCTAAAAATATATATTTAAAACATTCATCAATTGAACTCTAAATTGAGCATTGCATATCTTCCGAAGCCTCATATAAACATATCAACTTCATCATTTCATATTAGATTAGACATAAAATCATGAATTAGCTTTTTTGTGACATTACGTGTTCAATGATGATTTTTTTTGTTTAAAATTTTTATTTTTTTTTCCACAATTTTTATGGTTTGTATAGACAATAATCATGATTGTGGCTTAAATAGATAAAATTGACCATATCATTAATGTTTTTAACCATGGTTCTAAAAAACGCGTCATGGCGCGCCTCAAGGCGTGCCATGGCGTGATGTGTGGTGTAGCCGTTACGAAAACATCCAAAACGAGTTTGTTAAGCGTGACGTTCAAATAACGTGTCAATGCGCGCCTTATTACGATATGGCGCGAGTTTTTTTCAAGGCGCGAATTTTTTTTTGTTTATTTTTTGATTTTTTTTTTATCGGGCCTAAAATAATTGAGTTTTTGTTAACTTTTATATTAAATACTAATATAACACTTCTAAAAACTTGATATACTTGATAAAAATCAATAATTATATGATTTATCTCTTTTAATATATAGAAAATAGTCACGCCTTGAAAAACGTCATTACTCGTCAAATCTTGTCATGACTTAACTTTTACCTTGTCACCAAGCCACGTCTCACGTTATTTAGAACATTGTTTTTAACTAAAACAAATTATAAATAGTTCTGAACAAAAACAAACCAACACTGTGCAAACAAATTTGGAGACAATCATTTTTGATAGAAATAAGATCAGCTAATGATATTTTAGAGGGTGTTTCAGTTTTTTTTTTTTTTTTTTTAAAATATCTTATTCACTTATTAGTTTTTTTAAAAAGCCAATAAATTTAAAAAAATGTTTAGATATAAAAAAAAAATACTTTTAAATTTGGCTTCTTGAAAAGGCTAAAAACGCAAATTTTAATAAGTTGCAAATACTTTTGAGAGCATTTAGCTTAGGGAAAATGACTCTTGAGGGTAATTAACTTTTGCGTTTGTACTCATTTGGTCTCTTTCCTTTTTTTTGTATTCAATATACCATTGAACTTGTTGTTTGTGTTCATCATAACCCTTTTGACCGACTTTTGACCTGTGATAGCCGGTCAAAGGGTTATGGTGAACATAAACAACAAGTTCGATGGTATATTTAGTACAAAAAAAAGGAAAGAGACCAAATGAGAACAAACTCAACAGTTGGTTACCCTCCTGAGTCATTTTCCCCGAAAAGTTAAATGAAATTAAAGTTATAAAATTATCAAAGACTGTAACCTTCTTTGGCTATAACGTATATGAAGAGCGTTTCAAAGGGGTAACTTCGTTAAAACATGGTCTATGCTATGCTTACTGTGGTTAGCTGTCAACACCTCTCTTCAAAAGGATATGATTGTGTATGAGAGGTATATTTATCAACATAAACGTTTAGCTCAAGGTATATTATGGTTATGTGTCTGCAAAAACAGCATGATATTGTACATATTGATGTTGTATCTCATCCCATGAATTTGATCTTAAAGCTAAGTAAACTAAAAAATCACAGCACTTGTGATTCCACTCATTTGTAGACTTGTCTAGAATCCATGATACGATAAATCATTCGATTGGAAATGTAAATGTAGTCATGAAATGCGCCTGCTTAGTCAAGATTCCCCTAATAAATATTCAAGTGCATTACAAAGTTGTACATGTATGAATAGTGTTCTTTCGTGGGTTATGTTTTGAAGAGAAGCAATAATGAATCTCATAAATTCATTAATATCAGTAGGAGATGACGTGGGATTTGCTGCAAATGAGTAAAGGGAAAATGACTCAGGAGGGTAACCAACTGTTGAGTTTGTTCTCATTTGGTACCTTTCCTTTTTTTGTACTCAATATACCATCGAACTTGTTGTTTGTGTTCACCATAACCTTTTGACCGGCTATTACAGGTCAAAAGCCGGTCAAAAGGGTTATGGTAAACACAAACAACAAGTTCGATGATATATTGAATACAAAAAAAGGAAAGGGATCACTCAAAAGTCATTTTCCCTTTAGCTTAATAAAGCTAAAATTACCAATATAACCTTAAACCCCTTCAACTCTCGTTCACAGACCTCGTTTAGTTCACAGATCCCAAATCACACTCCTTCAACAACTGCGACCCTTCTTCGATCGGACACCGACGAGCCTCCTCTGATCTCCGCTCCAGACAACCGATCTTCGGCGCCGATTGCTGCTCCTCCGATTTGGCAAATCCTACTTTCTTCTTGTTTCATTGCGTAAAAATTTCGATTGCCACGTCTACCATTGCTGAAGCTTATGTGATGAGAAAGCTCCTTCAAGAAAATATGAAGAAGACGACCACTTTAAATGCACATAGTACAACCAAACAAAGCATACTCCAAAATGAACATCATGATTTTTCAAGCATAAGTTGGGTCCCAAGTTTATTCAAGAAGATTCACCTTGCAACTGCAAGTGCCCAAGTTTCTGATTCAAGAAGATAAGATTACCCTGCAACCTGAAAGCTTCACCAAATGAGCAACACAGATGGAGATTAACAGTCGTTAAATCCCACATTGTAACAATAATACAACCATTTTATTTGTTTATTGATAACGTATTTGTTGATCTCAAGAAAGACATTTTGGAATTTGTTTTTTTGTTATTTTAGGCAATTAGTAACTAATTTTAAGTTACATTTTTATATATTTTTACATAATATCGTGATAACAATTAAGTATTAACTATAAATTTCATTATGATAATCTTGACTTTTTTTTTCATTGTTGTGAACAACAATTTCCGTTAAGAAGGTTTCGTTACGAGCTTTTATGATGGCATTAGTTGATAAATGTTATGAAAAAATATGTGAGAATGTCTTTAATTTTATTTATTTATTTATTTTTTGCCTGTATAGCTAAGCCAAATACTTTTACAAAAAACTTACTAATTTATTAGTTTTTGCGACAACAAAACATATTTTTTTTTGCATAAAATACTTTTAAAAAAACTTATTCACTTATTGGTATGTAAACAACCTTTAAAAGATTACTAATCCAAACATTTTTTTAAAAACTATTTTTCTTAATAAATACTTTTGCCTAAAAACATTTTTGGAGTTAAATAAACAATCCCAAACACCTTTTTAATCGAGATTATACAAAACGTAAATTGTAAGATCTTGGTTTGACATTCTTATATATAAACAAAAACAGATTTCTTTTTTTCTCACAAATATATAAAATAAAGTTATGATTTACAAATAAATAAATTCAATCTCTAGAATGAAACGTTTCTCTCAGGGTTCTTGAATGCATCATTCTCGAAGAACTCCTTTTTGTTCCCATCAATTTTGACCAAAACCCAACTTTCTTCTCATGATCTTGCATAACATTGGTTTGATCACTAACAAAAGCCACTGATCTACTCTTCTTTAACAAACCATTAGTGTTCTTCCTCAAGAAATGAAGATATCCGTTTCCTTCAAAATTACCGATCTGTCGTCGATTTCGATAGCTTTGCATGGGAGATGCAGTGTAAGAAGAGGCATGTGAAGAATAAGCAGAAGATACCGACGAGATAGAAGATGAAGAAGATGATGAAGAAACGTTTATGACGGCGCCTGATGAAGGGGCTGATATCTTCGATAATCTTTCTCTTAAACACAAGGAACAAATTCCAGGTGATTGCCTGTGTTTCGGGTGTTTATTGCAGCTTCCTGCCAACGATGATCTTCTTCGCGCTTCCATTGTGTGTGTTTTTTACTTGGTATTTCTGGTGTTTGTGTGTCTGTCTTCTTGTGGATGGGTTTTTATCAGGTTTTGTGTGAGCGATTTAGGTGTTTATGTGTATTTTCTTGGATTGGTTTTGGTGGATGTTTAGGTGTTTTTGTGTATGTGTTTTTGTATGGTTATAATGAGTTAGGTGTTTTGTGATGTATTTATAGAGGTAGCTGGTTAGGTTTCTTGGAGCGTTCAAGGGACTTTCTTGTGGGTTTCGTAATATCACTTTAAAGAAGGTTAGTTCAGAAAGTTAAGTGACACCAAGATAATTAAATTATTATTATTATTATTATTATTATTATTATTATTATTATTATTATTATTATTTATGTAATTTATAAATTAAGCTCCTCAAAAATATGTTAGTTACAATTTTAGCCCCTAAAGGATTGTGATTTTAATTTTTCTTGCACAGTTAATTTATAATTGACATTTTATTTAATATTTTAGTTTTTGGATTTTTTTTCCTTTAGAATTACATTTTCCATGTATTTATTTATGTGTTGTTTATTATTTAAGATATTTTACAAAAGAAAATTATTCGCAGTAATGTGCGTGTGTGTATATATATATATATATATATATATATATATATATATATATATATATATAAAAGTTAGTCCCAGACCAACAAAATTTTATAATACAAAGATATGTGTTTCTGAAGTAATTTAAAATTTTAAAAATATTTACATCAAATTATTCTAATAGAATACATTTCATCTCAACTTTTAAAGAGAAAACAACGAAAAGAAGTAATGCCAAAGGTTTTTCAAGATAAATTGAATAATTGAACAATAATAAACAAAATTACCTATTAAATCCAAAAAGTAAACAAAACTATTTAACAAATTTTAAAAACAAAAATTATCTTTACCCTGGATTAATTTTAGGGTTAGGTCATTTTTGTTCACTTAACTTTTGGTTTTATGTTCATTTGGTCACTTAACTCTTTTTAAGTTTTAAAAGGTCATCAAACTTTTGACTTTGTGCTCGTTTAGTTACTTAACTTTTGGTTTGGTCACTTAACTTTTAGATTTGTGCTTATTTAGTCACCTAACTTTTAAAATTGTGCTCATTTAGTCACTAAACTTTTGAAAAAATTTAAAAGTTTAGTGACTAAATGAGCACAATTTTAAAAGTTAGGTGACTAAATGTGACCAAACCAAAAGTTAAGTGACTAAATGAGCACAAAGCTAAAAGTTTGATGACTTTTTAAAACTTAAAAAGAGTTAAGTGACCAAATGAGCACAAAACCAAAAGTTAAGTGACCAAAAATGACCTAACTTTTCTTATTTTTTAATTCTAAAAACAGAACAAAACTACTTCCCAAATCAAGGTAACTAATATGGTAATCCTAATGAATTTAATGGTTAAAGTTTATGAGAAACTAAAAAGTAGTCAAAAGGTGAGAATTTTTTAATGAGTAAATCCAGATATCAAAGAAAACATGTGTATCATCATCGACATTCATTATTTCAACATTAACCTACAAATTGTAAAACAAAAGAAATTATGAAAATAGAAAGCCAATTTTTAAACACAAACTTCTTTGGCAATTACTATAACATTGTGATGGAATCAAATGTCAACGCATTTAGGATAATAGAGGAGAGGTACATGTTTTTATAAATTCAAACAAAAGAGACTCAATCGTAGACAAGGGATCGAGGTCCAAAATATCGACAGGTGAACGGTGAACAAATAGAGAAGACGACTAAGATATGAGGGACTGTATGATGGAGGCGTTTGTATGTTGTCGTGATGGTGAATTCTTAGGGTTGAACCAAGAAGCTAACATACGAACCTCTCTCTCTCTCTCTACACGAAAGGAATTCTCTCAAAACGGCAAATTATTCTAATCTTAATCTAATCCTAAATATCACCTATGTCTGTTAGTGAGACTTGAACCCATGACCTCTCATTTGGGAAATGTCACTCCTTACCGCTAGGCCAAAGACCCTTTGGTAAGGAATTCTCTCAATGACATATTATGGTTGTGTAGCTATTAAATTTAAATATCATCCGATTAGCTTTTTTGGCTATGACTTTGTTTGTGAAACAAAAAATCTTAAAAAATGAAAGGTATTAAAATTTAGTGCTTTACAAAATAAGCATAATAATGAAAATTTGATTTTTTTTTTAATTTTTAGTTTTTATAAAAAAAAAACTCCATAAAACATTTTTTCAAAAATTATAAAAATTTGGAAAATACTTCTACGTAATAAAGTAGTGACTTTGTAAAAAAGTTTCTGAAAATATAAGTTTTTGTAATGTTCAGATTTTAATTTTAAGAAATTTAAGTTTTATTAAATATAATGAATTTTTTTATTCAAATTCAAAAAATTATAAATGATAGGCTTCACCGTAATATTATTTTAGTGAGTTTGTAAAAGAAAATTTTTAAAAATATTATTGTTAAGGGTACTCATGTTTTGTTTAAATGATTATGAGTTTATATAAAAAAATAAGATTTGAAAATTTTCTTTCTCAAAATTAGAAATCTTTTTAAAAGTTGTTAAATACTAGACTTTATTTTAAAATGAAAAATTTCAAAAATAGTCCCTATGGTTCCAAAACTTTTAATGAATGGTTTTTAACCCTAACTCAGACATTAACTTTTTTAATATATATATATATATATATATATATATATATATATATATATATATATATATATATATATATATATCATTAAAAACGTCCTAATGGTGTCAAAACTTTTAATTAATGGTCCTTAATCCTAACTCTGTTAGTTTTAATTAGGGTTGAGGGCATAATAGTCTTTTCATACCTCAAGGACTATTTTTGAGGATTTTTTTTTCTTATTTAGAAAACTAGAAAATAATATCCTTCCCTTCCGCCCAACCGCCCTCCTACGTACCCTCTACCACCTCCTCCTCTACATGTAGATCGCCACCCACCACTATATCGCCGCCACCGGCCGCTTGAATGTCGCTGCCAGTTAACCTTAAAAAAATCAGAATTTTTGCATTTTCTTGTTGATAGTACTTGAGGTAACAACATTTGGTCCATTCCATTCCATCAATCTAAACAAACAACTTTTTAACATTCCAATAGAATGAATCATCCATTCATTCTTAGATTTCATCCTACCAAAACTACCCGACTTAAATGGTAACAATTATTTCTTGCATAAACAAGATTAAAAACCATATATAAAAGTTTACCCTTGCAACACCCCCATTCCCATTCTCATTCCTCTTTCAAAGAAAGAGATAAACAAAATCAAAATTGATTGGCCATTATTGTTTGTTATCAGATTTTGTAAAAACATAAAATGTAATTGTTTTTTATGCAAAAAAGATTGCCAAAACCATAAAAAGCTTTCATTACTTTTTTTCATCATACAACCACCAAAAAAATCATACAACAATAACAAAAAAACCTAGCTAAACACATCAAAAACTAACTAAAAACATACAAAACACCTAGTTGTTAGGGAGGTGTTCGATCATGTTCTTGTAGGCAGTGATTGCCTTCTCCATGGTATCTTGCATGTTGGAGATGGTGTCTAAAATTTCAGCGTCTGTCTTCTTAGCATCCTAGAGGACTTGAGTGGACACATTGTAGTTCATGTAGTGGAGAGTGGTGGGGATGTTTTGGATGATACCTGTAACGTCCCAAAAATTACAAATAGATTTTTTTTTTCATTTTAAAATAGACTAACCAATTAAACCTTTGTTTCAAAAATCTTTGAATAAAATTTGATTGATTGAAAGTCGTACACTATCAGAGTTAAGTGAAAAATCGCGGAAAAAATATCATTAATGTGTGTGTAAAGTCCTGCGGGCTCTTCCCACGAACAACCTGCAAAACATTTAATCCATAACTGTAAGCATAAAGTTTAGTGAGTTTCCCAATATACCACATATTCCACCATACATACAGTCTATACACATAAAATCCTCGGCTCTAGTGTTGACCTATCAACATACGTACAACATACATATCAGCACAGGACGTGTGAATGTTGTGGTCCTCCCGTAATCTTACTTACGTTTTCCATGGTCCTCCAATGGTCTTTCTTACAAATGTCATGGTCCTCCCATTGTCTTTCATGCAATTTCCAGGGGCCGAATCATGGTCTTTCATACATTACATAAAATCATACGTAGTCGGGGATCAGATAGACAGTCGAATAGATGACCCACATGAGAACGAATAGTCAGACAAGAACATCATAATTAGCCGTTATACCAAAAGTTCTCAGGTTATCCAACTTAAACTACATAGAACCAATGCTATCATTACAACATAACCATGTAACATAAACACATAACATCTACTGGCATATTAATATCCTTGGCAACTAGCCTACCCTAGTTACCTTGCCATTAATCATTTCTCAATTAAGTCATTCGCTGATTAATCATACATAATCCTGATAACCGGCCTTCCTCAGTTACCCTAACCAACATGCAAGACTCTACCAGTCTAGCATATCAAGACACCAAGTATTCTAACTTCACATTCATAACAAGGAGTTCTCCTAGTCGACTAGCATACTTGTACTCGAATAGTACTTCTATCCTACCATGCAAAGGATATACAATGTGATCTATGGCATAATGAGGAACTCACATGAACTAAAGAACCGAAGAAGCACATCAACACTCTTTGTAACATCCCAAAAATCACGATAAATTTTTTCATTTTTAATTAAGGAAAATCATTGTTTTCAAACAACACCCAAGTCAAAATCAAGTATCAAATACAAATATCCCAGAATCATAGTGTAATCAAATATCCAAAACATAACACCAAAGGATGTGTATGACCATGCCTTTGCTTTTCCCTGATCATCTAAAGTACCTAAAATAATAAACTTAAATCATAAGCTAAAGCTTAGCGAGCTGCCTAAGATACCACACAACGGAACATATACAAATAATACATACTGGGTCCAAAACCTCACAGTTGGATTACCCCCCACCCACAACCTT